AAACTGCAAGAACTTGTTCAGGCAGTACCCAGAACCATCAATACTGACTCAGAGACACCCCAAAACAAAACAAAGCAATCTCCCCAGGTATTGTGGTCAACCTTATCTATTTTGCTAGATCCTCCTTCCTACTCCGCCTACCCCATCTTTTCAAACCAGGAACAACATTTGCTATTCTCCAATTATCTGGCACTTCTTCAGATCCACAGGATTTCTCAAAGGTAACATAAGGGTTCAGAGAGATAATCAGCGAGTTCCTTTATTAGCTTTGGATACAATTCATCTGTCCTGAAGATTTAAACGTTCAAAGTAAAGAGGTATTTCTTGACTCTGCTTGTCAATCTCAAGCTCCCTCGCTAACCCTTCAAATTGCTCTTGAGAATTTCCTGATGGAATCCATATTATTTTTTGTTGGAGAGGACTGAACCGAAGTGTTGAGCACCTTGGACTTTTCTTTATTACCTCTTGGAATTTTATCCTTCTTTCTTTTTCTTTTTTATTTCATTACCATAGCTCATTCTGAGTTTTTTTTCTTTTTCTCTAGCTCTACAGTTCTGAGCTACTTGTCTGTACACTTTCTGAAAGCTGTCTTTCTATGTCCTATCTATGTCCATATGCACTTTTTTTTTCCACTAAGCATTCTGTGTAACCATATGGCTTATTCATCTGTCTTCTATTTTTTTCTCCTCACTGAAATGATTTGCAATTGTCTTCAGGAACCCTCACATGTAAGAGCTTCTTGTTCCATTAACTTCTCTTATCACAGATTCCTACTTATCACTGCTCTAAATTAACATATTTTTTTCTGAAGTGAAAAATATGTTTGCTCAGTGTTTGCTTTTCCTTAAAATTAAGGATGCAGTATTACATTGTCATTTTACCAGGCAAAATATCAAGTCTAAGGACAGATGATCCTCTTGTAAACCTTCTTCTCCTGAGAAGACTGTGCTTTGTACAATTTGTTCCCCAGCAGATTATTAAAGTTATTAAAGTTATTAAAGGTTATTAAAATCTCCCATTATGACTTTATGACCCTTGGAAAGATCTGCGGTTTGCTTTAATAAGGCTTCATATACATCTTTTCTTTGGTTAAGTGGCTGATTGTAGACACCAACAATAGTATTGCTTTCATTTTTTTTTCTATGACTTATTTTAACCCAGATGGTCTCTACAGCTTTGCCAACTAGGATTATTCACTTAACTTTTCCCAAACATTTCCACTTAGCACTAAGAGCACAATATCCTTTAAGAGTTTCATCGATTTCTTGAAATCTTGATCATCATGCTAGAATAATCCAAATTGTTGGAAAAAAACGGACTGGTGTAGTACCTTTTGACTAATCAAAGCACAATGCCATCTGGACCACTGTTATTTGGGGTATTTTGGAAAAATTGTGAATTTTTGAAAACTCTCCTCTTTTCTTACTTGGAAACCTATTGCTCTCTTTTTGAATCTAGAGGGAGTCAACCTTTACAGTGAAGGACACCTGGCATCTGTCTTCTTAAATCCCTGTTTGGCTTTTAACATCAGAACTGCTGTATAAATATGAACTTGAGTGCTCATTTGTAAGTCACAGACAGAGTCAGTTTCAAATTACTATTCAGTTGTAGATATCACTGCAGAAGTGATTTACCAGCCCTCTCCTAACTGTTGAGAAAGCTCTGGAGACATGATACAGAGAAATATAATATGCTCCTGTGTTTCACCTTCAGACATCAAGAATCACACAAGTATAAATCATCAAAATCCTACAAAAACTATGTCGAATTATGCCACACAAGGTAGCTAAGAATCCTGCAGCATTTTTAAGAACTAACAAGATTTATTGTGGCACTGACGTTTGTGGGATAGAGACCACTTTGTTGGGGGAAATATTATAATTTTCTGGGAGAGATGTGTATGCATTGACAGAGAAAAAAGCATAAACACTGTGGCAAAAAGAACATGAAATGTAAATCTATGCAGAACCCAAACAAAAAGTCCTGTTCTTATTTTTGAATATCTTAAAAACTGTGGCAAAAAGAACATGAAATGTAAATCTATGCAGAACCCAAACAAAAAGTCCTGCTTTTATTTTAAATATCTTTGAACTCAACAAAAAAATATTCTAAAATTTATATTGACCCTTAAAAATTCTCTCTTATTTATTTCTGTCAATATTTATTAAGTATAACCTATGTATTCATGTTTATCAAAGGAAATACTGCATGCATCTGATAAAATAGGCTGTACTCCCTAAAAAACTAATGCCACAACAAATTTATTGGCCTTGTCACTGCATAAAGCTTTGATTCTTTACCATTCTTGAGATCTGAATTGCCATATAATTTAACTGTTGGGCCATATATTGCTTGATATACTTTTGAGCTTGAGTGACCATGTGGTTGATACATTTATAGAAAAGCATAAAATTATACAGCATGTTTAGCTACCTGATGTAGGATATAACTATTAGAAATTTTTCAAGGAAAACATCTCTCTGAAATATTCTGCTTGAAATATGGATACAAAGTGACCTAAAAGTCTAAATGAAGTTGTATTATTTATCAAATTATAGTTAACAAATGGTTTCAGGGGCATTTGCAGCAACAGTTATTGACTTCAAAATAATGGTGCAGATAGGCAGACCCACTTTTTTTAAATGTGTGTTGCATGTTGCAGGTCTTCAATTGCTTGGTTGAACCTACCATTTTGAAGTATTGACTATCACTGTGGACACTCCTGAATAACTTACTCTGAAGAAGTTATCTCAAGAGATCAAACTTCTATAAAGTAGTCTCATTTTACACTGGCAGCCTAAGTGCAAACACTCAAACTTATTTAATCTTGAATATTCCCTAATACAGAGGCCCCGAACCTTTTTGGGCACCAGGGACTGGTTCCGTGGAGATAATTTTTTCCGTGGACCGGAAGGGGCATGTAGTGTTAGCATTGTGGATGGGGCTTCACTTGTTTGCACGGATGGGTTTCTGGCGTGCTATGGACCGGTGTCGGTCCACGGACCGGGGATTGGGGACCCCTACTCTAACAGCCACTGGGCAATACTTATAACCAGGGTGGTGAAAGTATAATAAAAGAGAGACATGGAGCCAAGCTTCCTAAGGCGTTGAACATCATTCATGGTTTTTTTACAACTAACATCAAAATTTTGAAGTTCCAAAGACTGAATTTTATTGTATGGGATGTTTCCAAAATATTATATCTCATTATGTTTGCGCATAAAAGTAATTGTAGATGTATCACTCCCCCTCCCAAACGTTCTAAATCCAACAATATTTATACCTGTAGATTTTAATCCCTGCTAGTAACTAGGTAACAGTAGATTAAGTGAGCCACACAACAAAGGACAGGACATACCATAACAGCGTGGGAGAAGTTCAGGGGATAAAGTACAAATCACATACTTTTAGGTGTGTTTCATTACCTACTAATGAAAGAAACAGTGTTAATTAGAGTTAGGTTTAATTTAACACACATATTTGAGAAGCCTTCTAATCTGGTTTATTAACAGGGTAAATGATTAAAACTCTACAAGGATAACTGAGGATTCCTTTTTGGAATAGTCTACTTCCAGTTACTAAACATGATCAGCATGGTCTCAAAGATGCATTTTTTTCTTCAAAAGGCAACTGGACTGTTTTTTGTTTTTTTTTAATCTTCAGGCTTTTGAAAAAGAAAGAAAAAAGGCGTTTCACTTCTCATCCAAGAAGCTTCGTCAGTTCTGATGGCAGGGGGGCGGGGGGATGGATTCATGCCTTGCCATCAGAACTGATGAAGCTTCTTGGATGAGAGCAAAATGTTTTCTTCTTCTCCCTTAAAGAAAAAACAGTCCAGTTGCCTTCTGAAGAAAAAAGCACCTTTGAGACAACTATCACTTGGATGACTGAGAATCTCCACAGACATGATCAGCATGGTTCTTTTTATACTAACCCGATATTGGACACCTATTATCAGCATGAGTAATGTGAACATGGCTGTGGATGGATAAAACATATTGCAGAAAATAAAAATCACTAAAATATCGTTCTTTGCAGACTGCAATACAGTTGTGTTATTGTTATCATCCCACTTCATAAATTGGATACCTATCAAATATAAACAAGCTAGCCAGCTTCATATTTGCTATAGAATATTGCCCTAAAAGTGAAATGTGGGTTTTTTAAAAAGGGTAAAATCCTTAATATATCATATCCCAAATTAAAATTTCTTCTTCTACAAAGGTTATAAATCATCTTTACAGTATCTGTACGAAGTGGTTAAAGAATGGCAATCAACCAGAAATGTTCTCATCCTCAGCAATAAATCCCTCAAATGTAGGAATGTATCATAATCTGAGCAATCTCTGGTTGAACTTTGGCTAACACTGTTTATAGCTTTTGTATAAATTATTTAGGTGCACATGGTTAAAAGATCAGGAGAGCCCTGATTCTACTGAGATAAAAATAGGATAAGAACAAGAGCAAGGATTCAACACTTGCATACAACAATGGCCCATTTCAGAAGAAAGCAATACAACCCACAAAGTACTCTATTTTAATGGATGTTACGGTCAGCAACCCGGGTCCCTCTTAATGTTAATATGGCAAGACCCTCATTATCTCTGGCCATGTTGGATGGGAGTTAGCATCCAATGATAACCAGGCAGCTACAAGCTACCTCTGACTTATTGGGATATCTCCACAGTTGTTTAATTTAGATTCCTTTTCTAAAACAAAACCAAATAAACCTCCACCATTCTGATATTTATGATCAGTAGAATCTCTGGCAACAGAGAAATATTTTGTTAATTTGAATTTTGTAAAAAAAAAGAAAAAAAAAGAAATCCCTGCTCCCTTGTTTGCCACTTTCCAGTTTGTTTACTGATAGCAGTCACCCACCTTTAAAAAGAATTATTGCCTGACATTTCACAGAGCTTTTACTGCTTTTCTTGGAACAATGCAGTGAAAAAGAAAGAATCTCCTCTCTCTTGTCATGACCCAGTTCTGGGCTTGTGCTTTTTTGATGAGTCTTTGATCTGCAACAGGCTTCATAGGCTCGTTTCCCGAAGGAACATGGTGCCAATGTTGTAGGATATCTTTCTCACTCTGGCAGATGTGACAGAGGACTTTGGCTGCTTCTGACCAGTTCTGACCTCCAGGAAATAACAAATCCCAGGAATTTCCTTTGGAAAGTTTTCTGGAAGCTCTTCACGGGACCGAGGAATGAAGATAAAATTTTCTTCTTTTTTCAGAAGCCTGAAGATAAGGGAAAAGACAAGAATGGGACAACTTTGAGTAATAGTTATCAAAAGGCAGTGCACTTCATCTTTAGGTTGGTTACAAAGACAGTTAAAGATTGGAGATTCAGCCAGTTGACTGGTCATTGTTTTTTGTCTTAAATAAACGGAGTCACCAAGTCAAGCAGATCAATCTGAAGCCACAGTTCTTCAGTTCTTCCATATGTGGAAAGAAACTCTGCAGGTAAATGTTACTTTCATGGACTTCTGGTGACAGCAGGGGGGAAAAAGGAGTTTCCAGGAATACCTTGCATCTGCCACTCATCTGAAAAGCTCATTAATTGTGTCCCTAAGCGGCAGGCATTTGAAAGTATGAGTTTGAGATCTCATTTATATGAATGTATATGCCATTCATCTCACTGCCTAAGTGACTCTGGGCAGATTACATAGAAACATAAAAACAATTAGAATTAACAAGAATTAAGCAGAAACTAAAACCAAGTGTAGGAACGTATAGAGGTGAACTTTTCCTCTTTTACACCATCTACCATCTCTACCATAGAGTGCCCCAAGCCAACCAGAACAGCCAAGTTTTAAGACCCTTCCAGAAGCCAAGAGATTTTCTCCCTGTGTGTGTCTTGTTCCCTTCCTTACCATCATGGTTGACTTTTATGTCAATTTTAGTGTTAATGTTTATTATTTAATTCTTTATCTTGCTCCTTTTATGGTTTGTAAGCCATCTAGAGTTATCTCTAGGAAAGATAGGGGGCATACACGTTTAATGAAAGAATAAATAAATTAGTATTACTGAAAATAAATCTAGCATGTAGTAAATACGAGCACATGTTGATAGAAAAAAACAAATTTACTAACAAAATTGACACCATTATCTCTTCATATAAAATTTCATACAAATGTGACGATAGATAGATAGATAGATAGATAGATAGATAGATAGATAGATAGATAGATAGATAGATAGATAGATAGATAGATAGATAGATAGACAGACAGACAGACAGACAGACAGAGATGAGAGAAAGAGAGAGAGAAAATTTTGAATCTAGTTCTACAGGAATGTAAAACTCTTTAGGATAAATTTGCTTAAGAAATTCATAAAATGATATGAAAAATAATAATTATAGTTTTTTGTTATATAAGCCAGTTCATAACTTTTCAAAGATTAAGATCTTTAGTTTTCTTTTTTTGGGTTAAGAATGTTCCTCTAGAAAAACCTCACACATGTTAATCCACCATGCCAAGCATATTCTACTAGGGCTAGTATTATGTCTGTCTTTTTTTGTGCTCTATGTTATAGTGGCCTTTGCATTTAGAACACCTATCATTTTCCTCCCACAGACGTTCAGACCTTACTATTATTTACTGTACACTGATAGGCTAAGCCTCATTAGATTAGAACTCCTGCTCAGGCTGCCATTCTCTGAAGGAGATTGTTGCCTTGCAGTTGTCGTCTGCTATATTCTTTTTTGTACTAGTGGCAATTCTGTGTTAACTGCCCAGGGCTGCAGTTTTTGAGTCTGAATGGCCATATACTTTGATTCAGTTACATAACAACATGCGTGCATATTTTGAACTGGTTCCTCAGAGGTCTGGCCTTGCATTTTCTCATTTTTCATTCCATTGATCTTCTACATAAATTTGTTCTTATTTTATAGCTTAGTAGTATTTGAATCTTTCAGGATGTTGCCTTTGGCTCTTCAAATAATGTTGTCAATAATGCAGGAAAAACTGATTGAAGACTTTATGTAAATTGATGGAACAATGCCAGCACCTGACTTTAAAGGCTAATGTTAGCGTAGCAGATTGTACTTTGGACAAAGTTGCAATCATTTGTACAGCAGAGAGAAATGTATATTGAACATTTTTGTTAGAAGATATACTGGAGATATCAGCACATAGATTACAAATGTCTTGAGTCATATGATTAAAAATACTGAAATCTTGAACCATTTTAAGTAAAAATAGTTGAAAATTGTAACATCTCATATCTACTTTTTAACTCTGGAGTTATGTGTTGTTGATGAGAAATGCACTGATGGTTCTGTGGATGGAAAATGAACCAATAAATAATGCTAACAATGTTCCTTTGGTTTATTGAGTTTTAATTATCCATTTGTTTGTTTACACATAAATTGAAATGGATTATTAGGTAGCTGTTCTCTTGTGCACTATGCATAGAATGGTGCTTTTGAGATAGTAAACAAGTGCTTTGTTAAGCTAGCAATTCAACTGATCTGTCTAATGCAAAAATATGTTTTCCATTTGACATTTTTTTTAAATTATACCTGCACTTTCATCTAGTAAACATACATAAGGCAGCTCAAAAATAAATTTAAAACAACATATAATACAAAATTTATCATTTTTATTTGCTTGGCTGCCGTGGCAATAAACATGTCAATCAAATGTATCTCTCACTAGGTATATTTATAAAGATTCCAACAAAAGGAAAAGGTCATTTTTCTCTTTTAGTTGCCAAAGAATACAGGGAGTTCTTGACTTGTGACCTCATTTGAGCCCAACATTTCTGTTGCTACGCAAGACATTCGTTAGGTGAATTTTGTCTCATTTTACAACCTTTCTTGCCATAGCTGTTAAGTGAATCACTGCAATGGTTAAGTTAGTAACACAGTTGTTAAGTGAATCTGGCTCCCCCATTGATTTTGCTTGTCAAAAGGTCACAAAAGGTGATCACATGACCCTGTGACACTGCAACCAGTCAGTTGCCAAGCATCTGAATTCTGATCATGTGACCATGGGGATGCTGCACTGGTCATTGGTCACTTTTTTCGGTGCCATTATAATTTCAAATGGTCACTAAACAAACTGTTGTAACTTGAGGACTAACTGTGTATCCTTGAGGATTAGGGAATTCTGTGGAATGATATGGCCAGTTGCCCATATAGCTATGTGGGAAATTGGGGTTGGGAGATACCTTCTGAGGAATGGAGCAGAAAGCCTTCTCATTCAATGTTCTACAACCTTGTCCTTGTTCCTTATTGCTTTCTACTCTGCATTTGAATTTTGAAATCAAAACACTTTTAGGGCCCTCCAAAATATGAGACAGCTTAGCAAATATGTAGCTATTAATCTTTCTCCTCTTTCTTATGGGGCATAGGAGAAAGACTTTCATAACTTGTTTTAATGTTCGAATGGGATTCTACATCTTTAGATGTAGGCCAGAAAGAGGCCATGGTTTTAGGCCAGGGGTGTCCAAACTTTTTTCAAAGAGGGCCAGATTGGATAAAGTGAACGTGCTGGAGGGCCGAACATTTTTCCGAACATTCTTTGAACCATTACAATTAAATGCAAATGAATTATTTTATGCCTCTTTCCTCTCCCTCTTTCCTCTTTCTCTCTCTCTCTCTTTCCTTTCCCTTTCCTCTCCCCTCTCTCTCTTTCTCTTTCCTCTCCCCCTCTTTCTCTTTCCTCTCTCTTTCTCTTTCCTCTTTCTCTTTCTCTTTCCTCTAACTTTCTTTCCTCTCTTTCTCCTTTCTTTCCTCTTTTCTTCTCTTTCCTCTTTCCTTCCTTTCTCTTTCCTTTCTCTCTTTCCTCTCTCTTTCCTTTATTTCTCTTTCCTCTTTCTCTTCTCTTTCCTCTTTCTTTCCTCTCTCTCTTTTCTCTTTCTTTTTTCTTTCCTCTTTTTCTCTTTCCTCTCCCCCTCGCTTTTTCTCTTTCCTTTCTCTTTCCTCTCCTTCTTTCCTCTTTCCTCTCTCTTTCCTCTCTTTTCTTTCTCTTTCCTCTTTCTCTCTCTTTCCTCTCTTTCTCTTCTTTCTTTCCTCTCCCTTTCCTCTCTTCTCTTTCCTTTCTCTCTTTCTCTTTCTNTTCCCTCTCTCTTTCCTCTCTTCTCTTTCTTTCCTCTTTCTTTCTCTTCCTTTCCTCTCTTTCCTTTCTTTCCTCTCTTTCTCTTTCCTCTAACTTTCTCTCTTTCCTCTCTTTCTCCTCTTTTCTTCTCTTTCTCTTTCCTCTTTTTCTTTCCTCTTTCTCTCTTTCCTTTCTTTCTCTCTTTCTTTCCTCTTTCTCTCTTTCCTCTCTTTCCTCTTTCCTCTATTTCTCTTCTCTTTCTCTCTTTCCTTTTTTTCTCTTTTTCTCTTTTTTCTCTTTTTCTTTTTTCCTCTTTCTCTTCTCTTCTTCTCTTTCCTCTAACTTTCTCTCTCTCTTTCCCCTCTTCCTCTCTTTCCTCTAACTTTCTCTCCTCTTTCTCTCTCTCTCTCTCCCTCTCCCTCCAGGTTAGGAGAGAGAGAGAGAGAGAGAATGAAAGGCAGATGGTGCCGAACGGGCGGGGAGAGCAGGACGGAAGGTAGAAGCTCCCGGCCGCCCCCCCATCGCATCTTCAGCCGAACAAGCAGGGAGGGGGAGCAGAACAGGAGGCAGCGGCTCCAGTGGCGGTGGCCCCATTGCGTCCTCAGCCAAACGAGCAGGACGGCGGGAGCGCTGGCTGAGGAGGCGGAGGAAGCGGCCGCCGCTGCTGCTGCTGCCGGGCATCCCTCAGGGCGCGTCTCCCTCGCCTCGGCTGAGGCGAGGGGGGGGGAAGCAGCCTGGAAGTGGCCGCAGGGCAGGACGGCGGGAGCGCTGGCTAAGGAGGCGGAGGAAGCGGCCGCCGCCGCTGCTGCTGTCGCGCATCCCTCAGGGCGCGTCTCCCTCGCCTCGGCTGAGGCAAGGGGGGGAAAGCAGCCTGGAAGTGGCTGCAGGGCAGGACGGCGGGAGCACTGGCTAAGGAGGCGGAGGAAGTGGCCGCCGCCACTGCTGCTGTCGGGCATCCCTCAGGGCGCGTCTCCCTTGCTTCATCCGTCCATCCGTCCGTCTTCTCTGCCTCGCGCGCACGGCTGCACCGCTGAGTTGAGGCAGCGGTTCTTTAGCCGGGAAAGCCGGTGAGGCGACGGAAGAATGCCTCGTGGGCGGGCGGGCGCAGGCGCCCTGGGGTTTCTGAGCGGCAGGAGCAGGTCTCTCGGCCTCGGCGCGCGGCCATTTTATCTGCCGTCGAGACGGTCGAAGACG